TCAAAAATATATTGTATAGATAATCAATCACGTGATAAAAAAGTATTTCTAATCTTTCTATATTTTCAGCATTCTCTTATTTTTCCATTATTTTGACAAATTAGTCGATTTTTTTCCAAAAGCACGCCACACAACATGTCAAGGAACACTATGCACTGTACTCTGGTTGAACAACAAAAATGTGTCCAATTGCTCTTAACTCTAGTTGTAAAATCCCGTTCCCAGAATCAATGTTTATCTAAATAAACTGCCTGAATCCATCTCACAATATGTTGCATGACTCAATACCGTTGTTGGCTTTGGCTGAAGAAGCCTTTGTGTTGTTTTGTTGATCCCAGCATTAATCCTCGCCTGGAGAAGTCTGAAGGAGGCAAACAGCACAAGGTGAACTCCTGGATCCTCAGAAAGAGCGGATTTATACAGCATCATTACCTCACATTTGCATTGACCACAGGTAGTTGTGGTGGAGGTCCATTTGCATTGACCCTGACTATAAGCAGCAGTACGTGATAAATATACAGGTCTATAGGGTTTTCCGTGTGTTGAATGCATTTTGCAGATTGTAAATTCAACAATGTCCGTACATGTCCAATATTTTGTATAGCTATGTATGATTATTCAGGATTAAAATAATGGATGCGTACTTACTGCTGCTGAGTGAGAACGATAAAAATCCATTTGTGCGCTGCTCCCAGGGATCCGGTAAAAGGGTGTTATTATGATTCTCAAACTTGTTTTTTTAACTAACCACTATCTAGCCAGCCACTCTTTCTTTCGGGCTGCCTCTGTAGGGATTGACATACAAATCTAGCATTGAGAGAATTGCTAGGCATTTATGATCAAATTGTGATGTCACTTATGGTGTTAAGGAAGTGCAAAATGTATTAATGTAAACTTAAAATGGTTTGTGGTAACATCTGATTTTTTGTTCAATCCTGCCAATTAATAATCATTCCTTATCTATTTAAACTAAATGCTAAATTTAATATATCTTTGGACATTTTCAGTTCTACAGGAAGTCATGGTACTGAAGCTACAGGGACAAAAACATTGATGTCAGTATGTTACATATTTCCGTCCTGGCCACTATTTCAATAAGAACAAAGCTTTTAAAGTAAAACAAATGATGGAATTTGTTAGAGTAGAAATGCATGTTGCGTATTTCTTTTGATCTGTTTTAATTCACAGAGCAGAGTCAGCCATAGATAATTGATTGACTGCGGAAGGTTCCGCAGTCAACCATTGGTTTTGTATTTCTTTATTCCGTCATTTTTTTTGACACGTTTCACAGCTTTCACATTTTCAACAATTTCCACAAGTTATACATCAAAACGTTCCACATGTTTGGGAGATTATTGCTATTACTTTTGGGACTTCAGCGATTTCCGGTTTTTCCGCAATCGGACAAAAATCTGCATTGAGAATTCTGCAATGCATTTTAATAGGCCCATGCATTTTAATAGGACTTCAGCTCTTTCAGACATTTCTACAGTTTCAATGATTCAACAGTTTCAAGGATTCAACAGTTTCAAGGATTTCAGCAGTTTCAAGATTTCAAGAGTTTCAAGGACTTCAACAGTTTCAAGGACTTCAGCAGTTTCAAGGACTTCAGCAGTTTCAAGGACTTCAGCAGTTTCAAGGACTTCAGTGTAATCATGCAACCTAATAGGGATTTTTCCATGTAAACCAGTATAATGCAACTTAATAGGGATTTTTCCATGTAAACCAGTATAATGCAACTTAATAGGGTTTTTTCATGTAAACCAGTATAATGCAACTTAATAGGGTTTTTTTTCATGTAAACCAGTATAATGCAACTTAATGGGGATTTTTCCATGTAAACCAGTATAATGCAACTTAATAGGGGTTTTTACATGTAAACCAGTATAATGCAACTTAATAGGGTTTTTTCCATGTAAACCAGTATAATGCAACTTAATAGGGTTTTTTCCATGTAAACCAGTATAATGCAACTTAATAGGGTTTTTTCCATGTAAACCAGTACAATGCAACTTAATAGGGATTTTTCCATGTAAACCAGTATAATGCAACTTAATAGGGTTTTTTACATGTAAACCAGTATAATGCAACTTAATGGGGATTTTTCCATGTAAACCAGTATTATGCAACTTAATAGGGATTTTTCCATGTAAACCAGTATAATGCAACTTAATAGGGTTTTTTCATGTAAACCAGTATAATGCAACTTAATAGGGTTTTTTTTCATGTAAACCAGTATAATGCAACTTAATGGGGATTTTTCCATGTAAACCAGTATAATGCAACTTAATAGGGGTTTTTACATGTAAACCAGTATAATGCAACTTAATAGGGTTTTTTCCATGTAAACCAGTATAATGCAACTTAATAGGGTTTTTTCCATGTAAACCAGTATAATGCAACTTAATAGGGTTTTTTCCATGTAAACCAGTACAATGCAACTTAATAGGGATTTTTCCATGTAAACCAGTATAATGCAACTTAATAGGGTTTTTTACATGTAAACCAGTATAATGCAACTTAATGGGGATTTTTCCATGTAAACCAGTATTATGCAACTTAATAGGGATTTTTCCATGTAAACCAGTATAATGCAACTTAATAGGGATTTTTCCTTGTAAACCAGTATAATGCAACTTAATAGGGTTTTTTTCATGTAAACCAGTATAATGCAACTTAATGGGGATTTTTCCATGTAAACCAGTATTATGCAACTTAATAGGGATTTTTCCATGTAAACCAGTATAATGCAACTTAATAGGGTTTTTACATGTAAACCAGTATAATGGAACTTAATAGGGGTTTTTACATGTAAACCAGTATAATGGAACTTAATAGGGGTTTTTACATGTAAACCAGTATAATGCAACTTAATAAGGATTTTTACATGTAAACCACTATAATGTAACCTAATAGGGGTTTTTACATGTAAACCAGTATAAAGCAACTTAATAGGGATTTGTACATGTAAACCAGTATAATGCAACCTAATAGGGATTTTTCCATGTAAACCAGTATAATGCAACTTAATAGAGATTTTTCCATGTAAACCAGTATAATGCAACTTAATAGGGATTTTTCCATGTAAACCAGTATAATGCAACCTAATAGGGATTTTTCCATGTAAACCAGTATAATGCAACCTAATAGGGATTTTTCCATGTAAACCAGTATAATGCAACCTAATAGGTTGCATTATACCACCAGACCAAGACCCAAACGAAGACTCAGACCACCACCAGATAATGACCACAGACCAGGTTTCCTTAGTTACAGGAACCAAATTGTTTCAGCGGTGAGGGGATTTTTCAGTTTCAAGGACACTTTCAATACATTCAGTAGTTTCAAGGATTTCAACTGTTTAAGAATTTAACCAGTTTCAAGGATATCAGGAGGTTCAAGGATTTCAGGAGTTTCCACACTTTCAACAGTTTCCAGGTTTAAAAAAAGTTTCAAGGATTTCAGGAGTTTCAATGTTTCAACAGTTTCAAGGATTTCAGGAGTTTAAAGGTTTCAACAATTTCAAGGACTTCAGGAGTTTCAAATATCTATCAAGTATTTTAACAGTTTCAAGGACTTCAGGAGTTTCAAATATCTATCAAGTATTTTAACAGTTTCAAGGCCTTTTAAAGGATTTCAAGGATTTTTTTTAGCAGATTTCCACATTAGATCTGTTCCGCAGTCAATCGCAATGGCTTCAGCCATTGCAAGTTTCTAGTTTGAATTATCATTGACCACAAATGCCCACAACAGGAACATGGTTTGGCCACACATTTACAAACACAAGGCTTCACCGGCAGCACAAGCTTTGACCTGATAAGAAAAGCCAATCACACTTCAGTGACCTTCAGCAATGTGGTCATTATAAATAATCCCTCATCGGCCCATCTCTGCAGAAACACTCATATTGTTTGTTCACAAGCAAATGATGTACATGACGCCAAATGTATACATGAGGTATGGATTTTTCAGTTCTTCTGCGAGAAAATGTTCCAACAAAACAATTTGATTCAATTTTATAACCAAGGATTTACTACATAAATTAGTATAGTCAACATAAAATTCAAATAAGTTCTGTTTTCAGTCTGAGGAAAGACTTGAACAAAACATGATTTAGGACAGTTTAGAGATGAATGGATGGATTAAAGTTTCAGTTCTTGTTACAGATTCTTTGATGTGGAAAGATTTGCTTTGCTTCCATTAATTGTGGAAGCCAAAGCATGATGTGTCATCTTATTGCAGAAACAAATGAGGCCTTTAAATGAGTGCAGGGAGGTTCTGCCCTGAAGGCATCTCTGCCCAGGACCAGCCGTCAGCCCCTGCGGACTTATTTATGCAACAGCGCTCTGGAAGCACCGGTGCAGAGCGGAGGTGGCCGTCTTTCAGCTGAATACACCGCATAGAGCCATAGACTGTATGTACAGTGTATACAGTCTATGATCGGCTCCTAGTTTCTGTAAATTGTATGTGTGCAGAGTGCTGACGCGGCCTGAGCCTCAGTCTGGCAGCTAAGGGTTATCACCTCAGATACAGTAAGTGTAACCAGTCACTTCATAAGCAGCTGAAAGCTTTGCAAATCAAGAAAGAAAGGCATTTTCTCTGCTTTCTTCTGCATCTGGTTCAACATGAATTACTGTAACATAGTTCACTCTGTCCAGTGTTCTGACTGAACAAACAGCAATACTTTTAAAAGATTTATACTGGTATGCATCTGAGTGCTGTGAATGATTTATTTTGTGGGGAAAAACTAAACCACCATATGTAAAAGCTAAACGAGGTCTCACTAACAAGAAAACTCAGCAGACAAGGAACTATCCATCACATATATTTTACTATCTAGGAAATACAACATATGTACCAACATATTTACAAATGCGTAAAAAAAAAATCAAAAGCACTGTAATACCTGACACAGCCCACAAATAACATCTCATTTACAAAAATATCCTTCTCTATGTACATTCATAGCTTAGTCCGACAGTAGAGTCCAGGGCAGTCCGTCACACCGGATATCCATATTTGGGGTCATATTTGAGCGAGTGCGTGTGTTTGTGGTCGCCGTTGGAGCGTTGTGAATTGCGCACAGAGTTCCCTGCGTAGATGACGTTGGGGTCACGGACACTGGACGTGTCGCTCCTCACGCCGCTGTACTGGACCCCATGGTGTGTGTGGTAGCTCAGGACGGAGCGCAGGCTGGTGGCTCTGCTGGTGGGTCTGCTGGTGGGTCTGCTGGTGGCTCTGCTGGTGGCTCTGCTGGGGGGGCAGCTCTCTGGGGCATTGGCGTCCTCTCTGGGAAGAAGGATGCAAAAAATATTGATCACTTTGATAATGATAAATGATAAATAGTTGATAATGTCATATTCCAGATAAGTGAGTGTGGCGTTCTATATTTACTGTTTAGAAAGACAGCTCTCAGTTGATGTTAACCATGTTCTCTTTTCCATGTCACAACATTGTTCCCCCATCAAAAACAGACCTGGAGTGGTTCTTATATCCATCCACAAGTTTCTGATATTATCAGGAACATATGGACTCTGGCTTAGGTTATTTGCAATTGGATGGCATGGTTTTTGAAGCCGGTAATTCAAACATTGGGGGAATTCTTTTTATCACCCTTTAAACTAGATTCAAACAAGCAAAAGTATAATGCAAAAGTTTGTGCTTGTGACCGCAGCCTAAAGCCCAGTTAAAGGACAACTTAACACCTGTTCCCAGCCTTACTCCGCCCACATGACCATTTGAAAACTCTCTCTAAAAAGGGCGTTGCCTGGAGGACCAGGGGAAAAGAAGGGGGGCTTGGAGCTGGGCGTTGTTTGGCCTGGACTAAAACTTAGACAGTTGTCATTGCTGGCGTACAGCAATAGTTTACATACCTGGAAATCTCATTCCAGCCATGGTTGAAGTGTGGTGGGGACGTGATATTGGGCATCACAGTACGTCTTCCTGCTGCGCCCGCTGTGATGTACATTTTTGCACATGTACTTTTGCATTCTACTTTTCCTTGCTCGTGTTACACCTTTCATGTAGTAAAGGGGCGAAGGGGAGATTTGTTGCTCCAAGGCCGAAGAGATATGTTTCCTACGGGGATAACTCCCTTCTGTTTAGAGCCTTGCTGTCACAGTGTGATGCTATTCCAATAACACTTCAAACTGTTACTCAAGAGTCTGACTTTATTTTGTCGCCAAAATACATCAAAACACATCAAAACACATCAAAACACACCAACATACACCTGTATCCTGCCTGGCTGCGGTCGTCCCTTTCATTCTCATTCAGATATTTCTCAGGCTCACACACACACAAAACACACACCCGTTACCCACTAAGCTTCTGCACATTGGAGACGGACACATCTCACACATGTTCACATTGACTTCACTGATGGCAAAGAATTCATGGTTGGCACACAGTAGCCCAAGTGTCAACAGGAAGAGAAACGGAAATTCAACTCAGACCCTGAGGTAGTCTAGTTTGTATTAGCGCCACCAGCTGGACCAAGCTGCACCACTACACTTGGGCTGGCACGGTTGACTGCGGGCCATCTTCACACCCCTCTTTTTACGATCCGGGCCACTTGGCCTAGTTTGTTTGTGAAAACCTACAGTATGTAACCGTGCTCTTAGGTTGTGCTTGTGACTGTAGTCTTTGGGCACCCTTAGTCTGTAAAAATTCACTATATACTTGTTAGGGTCCTACAAATTCTTATTTCTTTTATTAATAGATACTGAAACTCTACTAATAGAATTATCCTCAATAATCATTGTGGCATCAAAACTGGCCTTGATAGTCAAGTCTTGCCACACTGCTTTTGTTGCCTGTTCTCACCTGATTTCATTTGCTCTTTCTTTTTCATATCTCCTTTTGTTGCAGCAGCAGATGAGGAGCCAGATGAGCAGTAGGAGCAGCAGTAACAGCAGAAGGGCCCCGATGACTGCACCCACTATCACTCCCACTCTATTGGTGGCTGTGAAAAGACACAAATCACACGTAAGTATATTGTCACACACATTATCTCTGTTACAAAGCCTGCTGTACATTTATTTAGGATAATGCAGGCTACAGCGGCTAAAGTCGAGTCATGGGCTTCCAAAAAGTGCATAGCGAGAGAAACACAGCTTGTTTAGAGAACGATTAGAAGTGACTTACGGTTGTACGCGCGCAGTGCATATTTACACTGTCCTGAGCCCACGGCGTTTGTCACCACACACGCATAGGTCCCGACGTAGCTGTCTGTGTGGTTCTTTATCAACAGCTCTCCAGTGGACGAGTCTTAATGAGAGAAAACACCATTTTAGCCTTTTCATTATAAAGTGATACAGCAATAATACAGGAGTATAGATAGAATTTAATAAAGGAAAGATAAATAAGAAAGATCTTCACTTAAATGGGTTAGGGTTAGGGTTTTAAATGGATTTTCTTTTGAATCACAAGAATCCTCTAAAAGCTCAATAGAATTACACTGCTATGAATCTGCATTTTATAACTGAAAGATTTTTGCGAAAACACTTATTTAGAAAACACAAAGCCTTCGCTGATAGTTATGTTTGATTGCTTAGCTAAATTATTTTCCCGAACCATTAAGTTTCAGGGATTTGTCCTTTTGTAACAATATGTACTTTTTGTATCTTTAAGAAATGTAGGAAATAATGTTTGCTTTTTCACAACATTGTTTCACTTTCTTACAAAAACGGCTTTGTCGCTTGCTCTGATTCCTATTAAAAGGTTCAATGCACAACAAGGAGAGTGGCCTTTTTGCTTGGGTCCATCTGCATTCTGTTCAGTCACAAGCCACAGGTCATATCTGCGGAAAGAATATCTGATCTAATGTGAGAATTCAAGCTTTTAAGCAGTAAAGCACATGAATAGGGTACTACAGGCACACACACACACACACACACACACACACACCTACTACAGGCACACACACTCTCACAGTTACTACAGGCATGCACACACACACACACACACACGCACGCACACACACTTATTTCAGACACACAGCGTGTCTGTGTGTCTGAAGTTACAGGCATACACACTTGTTACAGGCATACACACACACACTTACCACAGGCACACACACACACACACAAACACATACAACCTCACTTACTGAGAAATATTGTCCTATATTGTTGTCACCAATAATAGAAATAATAATAATAATAACCTCATGACCATAATTTGAATGCTTCTGTGGTGTAATCTGTAGGGACTTAGTATGTATAGGACACTCAAGCTCAATACATGAAAACGAAAAGAAAATAATATACTACTTTAAATCATACTTTAAAGCAAAGAACGTCTCCATGACAACAAGCAGGCAGCGAAACGTTGTGCAATGTACCTTTTAACCCTTTCATGCATAGTGGTCACTACAGTGGACAGCTATTAGCAATTGTTTCTTTCTTCCTTATGTGAGAGTTTTAAAGTCACAGTTGCACTTTTTACCCTTTTTACCCTGTGTCTGGCAATATGCACTGCTGCAGACTGGTAAACATATGTGGACATCAAGTAACATCTAAGGAGCCGTATAATTGTTATCCCAAGTACTAACTTTCTGTTTTGAGGAAATTGCATTGAATCACGTGTCCACTAAAGTGGACGTTGTGCATCACTAGCTACTGTATATTTTAAATACAAAGCATAGTATTGCTGAAAATTTTGCTGTTTCTAGAAATACTTATAAATACAGTTTTGGGTGCAAATAGAGTACATTATTTCATATATATTATTAGGACTCAAGTGAGGGTGATGTTTGTGGGAATGATGAAGAATGATACCAGACAAAAGACAATTAGAAAATGGTAACAGCTGTGACAGTGAAGTTGAAGATGTAGAAGAAGAAGATGCTGAGGAGTTTGAGGTGAATGAAGAGTCTGAGGGAGACACAAACATAGTACACAGCAGACATGTCTGCAAAGCCAAAGAATATAAGTTTGATGGACAATTCACTCTCTACTTTTTAGGAGAGTGGTAGGTGAAGATTGAGGGAGGAGCCCCAATAGATTTCTTCATCAAATTCCGAATGAGCTGATTGATGATATAATTATTATTATGACATATCTTTATTACGAGGAATAGCCTCCTGAGGTGCATCATCTCGTTTTCAGGAGGGTCCTCAAAAATAGTAACACAAGTAGCAGCAGCGGTTGTCAAATAAATGCAGTTACAGTATAATGTAAAAATAAAAAAAACAGAACAAGTTACAGTAAATAAATTCAATAAAATAACAGACAAAAAAAAAACAAATACAAGGACAGAAACATTCACTCACACACACACCCACGCAGAGCTCTCAGAGGTCAGAGGTCACCCTACTCCTCAAACTAGGACAGTCAGAGCCAATGGATATAGTGTTTAAAAGAAAGTTCAGAAGCAGTTGTGTGACGAAGGTTGTAAGAGGAATTGAGAGGGGTTAAATATTGCTTTGAATAAAGAGGATAATCCAAAAAATAACATTTATAAATGAAAATCAACCAGTGAGAGTGACGTCTTTGGGACAGAGAGAGCCAGGACAGCTGCTGGTCACAGTGATGGGTCCTGTAGGTCTGTCTGTAGGCTGCTGGTACATGTCACAGTGATGGGTCCTGTAGGTCTGTCTGTAGGCTGCTGGCACATATCACAGTGATGGGTCCTGTAGGTCTGTCTGTAGGCTGCTGGTACATGTCACAGTGTCAGTGGTGGGTCCTGTAGGTCTGTCTGTAGGCTGCTGGTACATGTCACAGTGATGGGTCCTGTAGGTCTGTCTGTAGGCTGCTGGCACATGTCACAGTGTCAGTGATGGGTCCTGTAGGTCTGTCTGTAGGCTGCTGGTACATGTCACAGTGGTGGGTCCTGTAGGTCTGTCTGTAGGCTGCTGGTACATGTCACAGTGATGGGTCCTGTAGGTCTGTCTGTAGGCTGCTGGTACATGTCACAGTGGTGGGTCCTGTAGGTCTGTCTGTAGGCTGCTGGTACATGTCACAGTGTCAGTGGTGGGTCCTGTAGGTCTGTCTGTAGGCTGCTGGTACATGTCACAGTGGTGGGTCCTGTAGGTCTGTCTGTAGGCTGCTGGTACATGTCACAGTGATGGGTCCTGTAGGTCTGTCTGTAGGCTGCTGGTACATATCACAGTGATGGGTCCTGTAGGTCTGTCTGTAGGCTGCTGGTACATGTCACAGTGTCAGTGGTGGGTCCTGTAGGTCTGTCTGTAGGCTGCTGGTACATGTCACAGTGATGGGTCCTGTAGGTCTGTCTGTAGGCTGCTGGTACATGTCACAGTGTCAGTGGTGGGTCCTGTAGGTCTGTCTGTAGGCTGCTGGTACATGTCACAGTGATGGGTCCTGTAGGTCTGTCTGTAGGCTGCTTGGTACATGTCACAGTGATGGGTCCTGTAGGTCTGTCTGTAGGCTGCTGGTACATGTCACAGTGATGGGTCCTGTAGGTCTGTCTGTAGGCTGCTGGTACATGTCACAGTGATGGGTCCTGTAGGTCTGTCTGTAGGCTGCTGGTACATGTCACAGTGGTGGGTCCTGTAGGTCTGTCTGAAGGCTGCTGGTACATGTCACAGTGATGGGTCCTGTAGGTCTGTCTGTAGGCTGCTGGTACATGTCACAGTGATGGGTCCTGTAGGTATGTCTGTAGGCTGCTGGTACATGTCACAGTGATGGGTCCTGTAGGTCTGTCTGTAGGCTGCTGGTACATGTCACAGTGATGGGTCCTGTAGGTCTGTCTGTAGACTGCTGGTACATGTCACAGTGATGGGTCCTGTAGGTCTGTCTGTAGGCTGCTGGTACATGTCACAGTGGTGGGTCCTGTAGGTCTGTCTGTAGGCTGCTGGTACATGTCACAGTGATGGGTCCTGTAGGTCTGTCTGTAGGCTGCTGGTACATGTCACAGTGGTGGGTCCTGTAGGTCTGTCTGTAGGCTGCTGGTACATGTCACAGTGATGGGTCCTGTAGGTCTGTCTGTAGGCTGCTGGTACATGTCACAGTGATGGGTCCTGTAGGTCTGTCTGTAGGCTGCTGGTACATGTCACAGTGATGGGTCCTGTAGGTCTGTCTGTAGGCTGCTGGTACATGTCACAGTGGTGGGTCCTGTAGGTCTGTCTGTAGGCTGCTGGTACATGTCACAGTGTCAGTGATGGGTCCTGTAGGTCTGTCTGTAGGCTGCTGGTACATGTCACAGTGATGGGTCCTGTAGGTCTGTCTGTAGGCTGCTGGTACATGTCACAGTGTCAGTGGTGGGTCCTGTAGGTCTGTCTGTAGGCTGCTGGTACATGTCACAGTGGTGGGTCCTGTAGGTCTGTCTGTAGGCTGCTGGTACATGTCACAGTGATGGGTCCTGTAGGTCTGTCTGTAGGCTGCTGGTACATGTCACAGTGATGGGTCCTGTAGGTCTGTCTGTAGGCTGCTGGTACATGTCACAGTGATGGGTCCTGTAGGTCTGTCTGTAGGCTGCTGGTACATGTCACAGTGGTGGGTCCTGTAGGTCTGTCTGTAGGCTGCTGGTACATGTCACAGTGATGGGTCCTGTAGGTCTGTCTGTAGGCTGCTGGTACATGTCACAGTGATGGGTCCTGTAGGTATGTCTGTAGGCTGCTGGTACATGTCACAGTGATGGGTCCTGTAGGTCTGTCTGTAGGCTGCTGGTACATGTCACAGTGATGGGTCCTGTAGTAGGTCTGTCTGTAGACTGCTGGTACATGTCACAGTGATGGGTCCTGTAGGTCTGTCTGTAGGCTGCTGGTACATGTCACAGTGTCAGTGATGGGTCCTGTAGGTCTGTCTGTAGGCTGCTGGTACATGTCACAGTGATGGGTCCTGTAGGTCTGTCTGTAGGCTGCTGGTACATGTCACAGTGTCAGTGGTGGGTCCTGTAGGTCTGTCTGTAGGCTGCTGGTACATGTCACAGTGGTGGGTCCTGTAGGTCTGTCTGTAGGCTGCTGGTACATGTCACAGTGATGGGTCCTGTAGGTCTGTCTGTAGGCTGCTGGTACATGTCACAGTGATGGGTCCTGTAGGTCTGTCTGTAGGCTGCTGGTACATGTCACAGTGATGGGTCCTGTAGGTCTGTCTGTAGGCTGCTGGTACATGTCACAGTGATGGGTCCTGTAGGTCTGTCTGTAGGCTGCTGGTACATGTCACAGTGATGGGTCCTGTAGGTCGTCTGTAGGCTGCTGGTACATGTCACAGTGATGGGTCCTGTAGGTCTGTCTGTAGGCTGCTGGTACATGTCACAGTGTCAGTGATGGGTCCTGTAGGTCTGTCTGTAGGCTGCTGGTACATGTCACAGTGATGGGTCCTGTAGGTCTGTCTGTAGGCTGCTGGTACATGTCACACAGTGATGGGTCCTGTAGGTCTGTCTGTAGGCTGCTGGTACATGTCACAGTGATGGGTCCTGTAGGTCTGTCTGTAGGCTGCTGGTACATGTCACAGTGGTGGGTCCTGTAGGTCTGTCTGTAGGCTGCTGGTACATGTCACAGTGGTGGGTCCTGTAGGTCTGTCTGTAGGCTGCTGGTACATATCACAGTGATGGGTCCTGTAGGTCTGTCTGTAGGCTGCTGGTACATGTCACAGTGATGGGTCCTGTAGGTCTGTCTGTAGGCTGCTGGTACATGTCACAGTGGTGGGTCCTGTAGGTCTGTCTGTAGGCTGCTGGTACATGTCACAGTGATGGGTCCTGTAGGTCTGTCTGTAGGCTGCTGGTACATGTCACAGTGATGGGTCCTGTAGGTCTGTCTGTAGGCTGCTGGTACATGTCACAGTGATGGGTCCTGTAGGTCTGTCTGTAGGCTGCTGGTACATGTCACAGTGTCAGTGATGGGTCCTGTAGGTCTGTCTGTAGGCTGCTGGTACATGTCACAGTGATGGGTCCTGTAGGTCTGTCTGTAGGCTGCTGGTACATGTCACAGTGATGGGTCCTGTAGGTCTGTCTGTAGGCTGCTGGTACATGTCACAGTGTCAGTGGTGGGTCCTGTAGGTCTGTCTGTAGGCTGCTGGTACATGTCACAGTGGTGGGTCCTGTAGGTCTGTCTGTAGGCTGCTGGTACATGTCACAGTGATGGGTCCTGTAGGTCTGTCTGTAGGCTGCTGGTACATGTCACAGTGTCAGTGATGGGTCCTGTAGGTCTGTCTGTAGGCTGCTGGTACATGTCACAGTGATGGGTCCTGTAGGTCTGTCTGTAGGCTGCTGGTACATGTCACAGTGTCAGTGGTGGGTCCTGTAGGTCTGTCTGTAGGCTGCTGGTACATGTCACAGTGGTGGGTCCTGTAGGTCTGTCTGTAGGCTGCTGGTACATGTCACAGTGATGGGTCCTGTAGGTCTGTCTGTAGGCTGCTGGTACATGTCACAGTGATGGGTCCTGTAGGTCTGTCTGTAGGCTGCTGGTACATGTCACAGTGATGGGTCCTGTAGGTCTGTCTGTAGGCTGCTGGTACATGTCACAGTGTCAGTGATGGGTCCTGTAGGTCTGTCTGTAGGCTGCTGGTACATGTCACAGTGATGGGTCCTGTAGGTCTGTCTGTAGGCTGCTGGTACATGTCACAGTGATGGGTCCTGTAGGTCTGTCTGTAGGCTGCTGGTACATGTCACAGTGATGGGTCCTGTAGGTCTGTCTGTAGGCTGCTGGTACATGTCACAGTGTCAGTGATGGGTCCTGTAGGTCTGTCTGTAGGCTGCTGGTACATGTCACAGTGTCAGTGATGGGTCCTGTAGGTCTGTCTGTAGGCTGCTGGTACATGTCACAGTGATGGGTCCTGTAGGTCTGTCTGTAGGCTGCTGGTACATGTCACAGTGTCAGTGATGGGTCCTGTAGGTCTGTCTGTAGGCTGCTGGTACATGTCACAGTGTCAGTGATGGGTCCTGTAGGTCTGTCTGTAGGCTGCTGGTACATGTCACAGTGTCAGTGATGGGTCCTGTAGGTCTGTCTGTAGGCTGCTGGTACATGTCACAGTGTCAGTGATGGGTCCTGTAGGTCTGTCTGTAGGCTGCTGGTACATGTCACAGTGGTGGGTCCTGTAGGTCTGTCTGTAGGCTGCTGGTACATGTCACAGTGGTGGGTCCTGTAGGTCTGTCTGTAGGCTGCTGGTACATGTCACAGTGATGGGTCCTGTAGGTCTGTCTGTAGGCTGCTGGTACATGTCACAGTGGTGGGTCCTGTAGGTCTGTCTGTAGGCTGCTGGTACATGTCACAGTGATGGGTCCTGTAGGTCTGTCTGTAGGCTGCTGGTACATGTCACAGTGTCAGTGATGGGTCCTGTAGGTCTGTCTGTAGGCTGCTGGTACATGTCACAGTGATGGGTCCTGTAGGTCTGTCTGTAGGCTGCTGGTACATGTCACAGTGATGGGTCCTGTAGGTCTGTCTGTAGGCTGCTGGTACATGTCACAGTGATGGGTCCTGTAGGTCTGTCTGTAGGCTGCTGGTACATGTCACAGTGATGGTTCCTGTAGGTCTGTCTGTAGGCTGCTGGTACATGTCACAGTGATGGGTCCTGTAGGTCTGTCTGTAGGCTGCTGGTACATGTCACAGTGATGGGTCCTGTAGGTCTGTCTGTAGGCTGCTGGTACATGTCACAGTGATGGTTCCTGTAGGTCTGTCTGTAGGCTGCTGGTACATGTCACAGTGATGGGTCCTGTAGGTCTGTCTGTAGGCTGCTGGTACATGTCACAGTGATGGGTCCTGTAGGTCTGTCTGTAGGCTGCTGGTACATGTCACAGTGGTGGGTCCTGTAGGTCTGTCTGTAGGCTGCTGGTACATGTCACAGTGATGGTTCCTGTAGGGGCAGCGCAGAATGAACCTGCACTGGCTGTTGTAGGCAGTGTTCAGGGGATGGAGAGAAGTGGAGGTGGTATTTTGATAAACTATGTCTGCATAGTCTAATATAGGAAGTAGTAACTGAGAAATAATCCTTTTCCTTGCAGATAAATTAAAGCAGTGAATGGATTGATAAAGTGTTTTCAGTGGATAGTTTATTTTGTGTGCAGTTTTGTGAATATGGGTGTTGAAAGAGAGATTTGAGTCTAGCCAAAGACCAAGATATTTAAGGTTGTAAAGTTCAATAGCACAGTTGGAACAGATAGTCGGGAGATCATTAATAAAGATGGAGAAGAGAAGATGAGGATCCTTGTGGAATGCTTTTTTCAATGACTGTGAAGTTGGACTGGCTGCCCCCAAAGGAGACACACTGGCGACACAAAACACCCTAAGTGTTATGTCTCAAAGCGTTTTTTCTGATATAACTGATGCATCCATATGTTGTATTTAGAAAAGTATGTCATTGATCTCATGTAACTCTTCATGATGTTTGTGAGCATTAGTTTACCTTGGGTGGCGGCGGGGGGCATGGACCCTCCTGACTCTCTTGTCCATGAATAAGAGAGAGGTGTGGATCCCTCTGAGGACTTACAGCGCAGAGACACCGAGCTGCCTTTCTCCTCGCCGCCTTCCACCCAACACTTAGGCCTCGACGGGGGAACTGCGGACCAGACACAACAGCTATTATCAATTTTGTATATATATATTTTTTTATGTGAATATATATTTCTGTATTTCTATGGGTTCTTTATTTTACTTTTATTTTTTCACTGTCTGCACAGCACTTTGGCAAGCCTAGGCTGTTTTAAATGTGCTCTACAAATAAAGATTTGATTGATTGATTGATTGAATTATGAATGAAAAACATGTTTCAAAGTTGTTGAGAATTAAAGTAAAAGACATGTTCCTATTTTGAAAAACATGCATCTTCTTCGAGTGAGCTTTTACCCCCAAGTAACTGCTTCACTATTCTACTTTTTTTTTCTACTATGCTTTTTTTTTTATCAGTAATTGTGCTCTCTTGGCGGAAATCTTAACAGCACATGGCATAAAACTCCAGGACAGAACCTAAATAAATATAAATAAAGGCAAAGAAAAGGCACTCATTTGTGGAGGAATTTTGTGTTTCTTAATACACTTTATACATTTACATTTTCCACTTCATTAGTTAGTGATCCGGGTTGCCAGAACTCACAGCATCAAGCTAATCTCACTGGTAAAGTAACATGTGGCCACAGTACTGAAAAAGGTTCTCAAATCATTAACAACAACACAAGGAATAAAACGAGAATTTCTATAATGGCCTTGGAGAAAAAGGTGTTGGTTATAGATTTGTTGTGGCCAAAATGCCTGTCTATTCAGATATTATGGTTCCAGCTGGGTCCGTCGGCATATCTGGCAACATAACGCTGCTTTCAGACCGCCAACGCTGAAGCCTCGCTCACCAGACGCACATTCTCTAGTTTTCAGATGCAGAGGACTTCACACCAACGTCCTGACCATCGCCGGAAGTGGCGGAAGTAGCCGGCGGGCTCTGATGCTAACAGAGCTATGCTAGCGGCTTCTCGTGTAAAGATCTTCTCCAATAATGCAGCTTTCCAGCCTGCCTGTGTTCAGAGACCTTCCACAGACTTTATATGACAGTAGTATGTGTTCACGGTGCGCAATACGTTTATTTTATTATTAAACAGTACTTCCGCATCAGCGAACACGCTCAAAGCAGTTGCATAAAGTCAGCATGAAAACACATATGTTAACAAGCACACAGTCCCGCATTGTCAACCCTGGTTTAGTTCTGATGTAGCTTCTGTTTTGGCCGTTTACAGTATGTTCAGTCTGCTCGCTCAGACCACTAATGTCCCCGTGACCACTTTGCGGCTCTCTGATTGGTTGCTGCACAAACGTCCCAAGGAAAGGTTGAGCAAAGTTTATCTCCTGCTCCTCCCCTTCGACTTTCCCGCGCAGTCCGTGCGTTTCTACTAAGCAGTCCGTGCGTGCATTCCGAGACGCTTGTGCGTTTTGATGCTCGAACGCGCGTCACCATTGACTTTGCATTGAAAGCAGACGCAACGCATGATCCGGTCTGAACGCGGCATTAGTCAGGGAGAGTGGGAGAGACTTTTGGGATCATTAAAGTTTCCTGAATCTGAGGTTGTAGTACTACTTTTGGACAGATTTTTAAGTGAAGTAGAAGTGTAGCATTTTCGTGACAGAACTGATTTAACTGTGTCAGGTTTGTGGACCTTCTGCTTTTTTCAACTATACTCATGAATGTTAGATGAGATTGAATTGTCAGGGCTGTGATGGCCACTCCTGCACCTTGACCTTTTTATCCTTGAGTCATATTTGTGCAAGTTTAATAATTAATAATAATGTATTGTTTGAATATAGTGCTTTTTGGACATTCAAAGATGCTTCACATGTCATTATTCATTCACTCTATACACAGTGGTGATAAACTACTACTGGAGCCACAGCTGCCCTGGGGCAGACTGACGAAAGCGAGGCAACCAGTATGTGCTATCCCCTTCAACCACCACCAACCATTCACACAGACCAGACTCATTCAAGGCAATGTGGGTGTGTCCTAAGGACACAACACAGTTTGGCACTTTAAAGCCGCAGCCGCCCCATTGTGGCACCTGCCCTGCTTCAGACGTCTGACAGGATCTGGCTTTTACTTGCTTTTTCATGCAAGTATGGCCACAAATAGGCAGCGTGTCTTGCTAGTGGAGAAAGTCTTGTGATGGGCTCGAACCCACAACCTGTGAGCATGGGCTCACAGGCGCATGCTCTACCACTGAGCCACTGTCGCCCCACTTCAGTCCTGCACTGGACCTGTCCACGCTCTGCGGCTGCTGCGTGGCATTGGTCCTCGTTCTGTAGCTTAGGTCCTGGATCATTAGCCCGTCCGTCCGTGTAGGCGCGGATCCCTTTCTCAATATGTGGGTCTCCCCAAGGTTTCTCACTTTTTTTTCCCATTGGGTTTTTGTGAGTTTTTCCTTGCCGATGCAGGAGAGTCTGTTGGGCAGTTAGTGTCCAACTAGAAGGACTGTGGTGATGATCCAGGACACTTTAACATTCTACAACATGTATGAACATTTATCAACATTCATGGACATTGGTCTCTCCCTATGGACCAACTCATATGTGTATATTGTGTGTCTTAACTGTTGATTCTCTGATCTGTGTTGGTGATTTCAATGGTTTTGTTAAATCCTCTGAGATGACTTCTGTTGTGATTTAGGGCTATACAAGAATAAGTTGTTGTTGTTGTTGTTGTTGCTGTGATTGGCAACAAAACAAGACTATACAACATGCAAGGTGAAATTATTGGCAGGGCACATTCCCAGTGCAGGTATCATGATGAAAGCCTGGGAGTGTGAACAGGTCGGACCAGTACCAAAGGCATGTGTTGCACCTGATTGAGCATCGATAAGTTTTGCTAAGAAGTACAGATGATGGGTGAGAAACCTTCCTTTGCTCTGATTGAGCATCCTCAATAGAAGGAGACAACCTCATGAGTTAGTAAAAAAAAACCTTAATCTTATCACTCCTGAAGATCTTTGAATCATTACAGCATGTCTGCACTCACCCAGCACCACCAGTGTGACTTTGCGGGTGTCCACGCCGGGGGCTTTCTTCACTTTGCACTGGTATGTGGCGGTGTCTGAAGCCTGGATGTTGGACAGGGAGACGGTCGCATCACCATTCTTAGGGTCAGCAGTAAACGTCAGCCGGTCTTTCAGATCCCAGGTGCCGTAGTAATGCGTTTTGCCTCCAGTGTAAGACAAGATCTGGAACACACACATTTACCTCTGTATTTTTCGACTTAGCTTTATTTATAAAAGCAATATAAAAACAACACAGTGGATCCAAAGAGCCACGTTTAGATTGAACAAAACATATAACACATATGGATACAACACATAGGCTGTAAATAACTCAAGTTCAAATACAATCAAAAGAAAAAACATGAACACATTTAAGCAGGTATTTTTATGAACCCAATACGCTCGGGTTTTAAAAACTTGAATGTCCTCGAGTTGTCCGTTTTGAACTGTGCCGTGTGTGGACTAATACTTCTCGGACCCATATTATTACTGTGTTTGTCAAAGAAAGTCCAAAGCCCTGCTCAATGCATTCCATCCACTGCACACAGCGGCACGGCGTTTGACAAAGCACCATACTGATGCACAGCTCTGAAATGTTTTTTTATTTAGTCATTCATGGCACAGTGTGTATTCACAAACAGCAGCTATTAAATACACCATTTTGTATCCTTGGATTTAGTAGAGCAATGTTTTGATCAGAATTTTGAACCAGCATATGACGAGATGAGAGCTACGGCATTGGGGCTGTGTAAGAAAGGGACTAATGTGAATTCAGCCACAGGAGGTAATGTGTTTTCACATTCATAGCCACACCCCCGTGTTTGTGTTACTGCCTCGAAAATAAAGGAGCCTGCACTTTCCGTTTGTCAATTAAATGCTTTGGAGTAAGACATCTCTGAATAGCCGCATGAAAACTGTTTATGTTCTCAGAATCTGGGAAACTGTTTTTGTTATGTTATAGATGTGCTCAACTCTCAATTCAAGAACACTTTTATTTATCAGTTAGAGTATTAATTGTCAGACGGAATTTTATTTTACACATTTATTTTTCACTATACTCGCTTCCGTCATCACCGTGTGGAGAGAATGCAATAACTATCTGAACTCTGAACAATTGTAAAGCCATTCATTCCAACCCAGTCATTTTATTTATATATTTTATTCTCTGCACAATGTATGTGTGTCTGTGTTTATTTTGAATGTACAGTTATGTAGTATTTGTTTCAATCAGAAAAAAACATTTTAGAAAACAAATCTGCCTAAAAATTGCTAAATTACACAAGATGACATTTACAGTCGTCTGCCTTGTTCTGTGGGCTTTTCATTTTCCTACTCTTCTGCAAAGAAACTGAAATTCACTTTAGAACTAATGAATGTTCTCATCTCGTGTCCTGAGGAGTTTTGATTTGGCTAATGGCTTTCCCCTGTAAATGAAGTACTGCACTCCCACAATCATGCTTCTTTATTTGGCACTGATTGATATCATTTTAATTTCTTGCAATCCTAAAAACCTGCTTTCACATAATATTTTATCATCCAAACCTTCTCTGTAACCTGGCCAGCCACTTTCATACTTATACGTGCTTGGGGTTGATATGATGTGGTGTTTTTCAGACTCACCAGAGAATCCTTTTGGGTCATATCTGGACTGACGTTGGACCACTCTATGTCCAGCTCCCCTATGTCCTCCGAGCCGGGTGAGTAGGTGCAGCCCATGGTCACTGCCTCCCCCTGGGCTTTCTTAATCGTCTGAGGCCCGGTTTCCGTTACTTGCATTGCATTTGTGACACCTTTAACATAAATATTCATCAATTCACTTCATTCTTGTATAGCTCTAAATCACAACAGTAGTTATCTCGGAGGTGTGGACATAACACAACCGCTGAATTCATCAACACAGATCAGAAAATGTTATGGAAAACACATTGGTATTGGTCCATAAGGGGCAGCTGACCAATTTCCATAAGGGAAAGAAATATAACGTACCACAGACTTTAAAATATGTTGTGCATGTCTCTAGGGCTGTTTACAGTATTATTATTATTAGGCCCGAGCCCCGAACGGGGAAAGGGCCTATTGTTTTTGCTCGAGAGATGTCAAATTCTGCACTTTGAGCCTTAATTTCACCCCCTGAACATGCATGAAAAGTTGTAAAATTTTGACCAAACATCAGACCTGTTGAAAAATTTGATATTTTGGTGTTTATTTTTATGGGACTCAAAAAATGCCAGAACAGCGCCACCTACAACAGCCAATGGGAGTTTCAGAGGTCAAGTTTGTCGTAGAGCCATGAAATTCGGTACACATGTTCCTCAAGTCAAGATACGACCGAAATGTTATCATGGCTCCGCCCTCTGACAAACAGGAGGCCCATAAATTTCACTGCAAAATGGAAAAATGAACAGCAAAAGTTTTCACACATGTCGGTTGGAAAGCGACTCCTCCTCGGCCGTTTCACCGATTGGCCTCCATATCACTCCACATTGTCTAAACACATGTACCATCAAAATGACCTCAGGGATTTTTGATCAGTGAAACGGTGTTTGAGCAGCGGAGCGGCAAAATGTGAGCGTTTATTGGCCGTTTTTCACAACGTTCTATTTGCTCCCGTTTACACATACAAATTCCGATTTGCACAAAACTTGAATCCATGGTTCAACTCTAGGGTCTAGGTCATTTGAAAGTGAAATAATTGAACTTGGCTCATTAACGCCCCCTACAGACTATTTCAAAGTTTTTAGTATGAAAATCTCTGAAAACTTTGACTCCATCTGTAGGGGCACTAATGAGCCAAGTTCTTTTATTTCACTTTTAATTGACCTAGACCCTAGAGTTAAACAATGTATTAAAGTTTTGTGCAAATCAGACTTTGTATGTGCAAACGGGAGCAAATTTAATATTGTCCAAAACGGCCAAAAAAAGGTCACAATTTGCAGCTCCCCTGTTCGAACAACGTTTCACTGATGAAAAATCGCCAAAGTCATTTTCAAGGTACATGTGTTGAGATGATCTGGAGCGATTTTGAGGCGAATCGGTGAAACGGCCGAGGAGGAGTCGCTTTCCAACCGACATGTATGAAAATGATTGCTGTTCATTTTTCCATTTTGCAGTGAAATTTATGGGCTCCCTGTATGTCAGAGGGCGGGGCCATAATAACATTTTTTTCATGTCTTGACTTGAGGAACATGTGTACCGAATTTCATGGCTCTACGACAAACTTGACCTCCGAATATTATTAGGCCCGAGCCCCGAACGGGGAAAGGGCCTATTGTTTTTGCTCGAGAGATGTCAAATTCTGCACTTTGAGCCTTAATTTCACCCCCTGAACATGCATGAAAAGTTGTAAAATTTTGACCAAACATCAGACCTGGTGAAAAATTTGATATTTTGGTGTTTATTTTTATGGGACTCAAAAAATGCCAGAACAGCGCCACCTACAACAGCCAATGGGAGTTTCAGAGATCAAGTTTGTCGTAGAGCCATGAAATTCGGTACACATGTTCTTCAAGTCAAGATACGACCGAAATGTTATCATGGCTCCGCCCTCTGACAAACAGGAGGCCCATAAATTTCACTGCAAAATGGAAAAATGAACAGCAAAAGTTTTCATACATGTCGGTTGGAAAGCGACTCCTCCTCGGCCGTTTCACCGATTCGCCTCAAAATCGCTCCACATCATATCAACATATGTACCATAAAAATGACTTCAGGGAATTTTGATCAGTGAAACGTGTTCGAACAGCGGAGCGGCAAAAAGTGGCGTATTTTTTTCAGTTTTTGACAATAGAATTTTTTTTGCCGTTTGCACAAACAAAGTGTGATTGGCACAAAACTTGAATCCAGGATTTAACTCGTGCGTCTAGGTCATTTGAAAGTTTAAATTTTGAAATTGCCTCTATAGCGCCACCTACAACAGCCAATTTAAAAATGCCTATGGGATGGGTTCGAGGTCAAAATTGTCGTAGAGCCATGTAAGTTGGAACACATGTTCCTCAAGTCAAGACATGGATAAAATGTTATTATGGCTAAGCCCTCTGACAAACAGGAAGCCCATAAATTTCATTGCAAAATGGAAAAATGAAAACCAATCATTTTCATACACGTCGGTTGGAAAGCGACTCCTCCTCGGCCGTTTCACCGATTGGCCTCAAAATTGTTCCAAATCATCTCAACACATTTACCTTCAAAATTACTTCAGGGAATTTTATTCAGTCAAACGTTGTTTGAGAAGCAGAGCGGCAAAATGTGAGGGTTTTTATGGCCGTTTTTGACAACATACATTTTTTCTCCGTTTGCACAAACAAAGACTGATTTGCATTTAACTTGAAGCCATTGATCAACTCCAGGGTTTAGGTCAGGTGAAAGTGAAATATTTGAAAATGGCCCGTTAGCGCCCCCTACAGACTGAAGTAAAGTTTACATAGGGAGCCAAACCAGCTCTACTTATCATATTCATTACAATTTGACTAAGTTCTTCTATGGCTACGGGAACCAATCATCACACGGCGGCGCCACCTCTTATGCGTGGTGCTGCGTGGTACGGTGTGGTGCGGCGTAGTGCGGGGAGTAGTGCGGGGCGTTGTGGAGCGGCACGTTGCGGCTTGCTGCAGGGCGGCGTGATGCGGGACGGCGTGGTGCGGGACGGCGTGGTTCGGGACGGCGTGGTTCGGGACGGCGTGGTGCAGGGTGGCGTGGTGGCTTGGTGCGGGGGGTGTGCGCGGTGTGGGGAGTCGCGCGGTGCGGCGAGGGCCGTTCGACGCCGCTTGCGGCTTTAATTATTATTATTATTACTATTGTTAGCTTTTTAGAAGGATCAATTCATTTGTTTTGTTTGTGTGGATGGATGTGGACCTGAGTTTCTCCTACGGGGATCAATAAAGTATCTATTTAACTATCTGTCTATCTGTCTATCAATCTATCTATGTCAATAATCTATCTTAACCTGGACACATTGGACCTCATTTATGAAACTTGCGCACAAAAGGGTGTATATTTTTGGTGTAGATTCCATATACGCAAGACCCAACGCCGGATTTATAAACGTGTGAGATCCGCCCAGATCTGTTAGTAAATGCCGCGATGAAAACTAGCGTATTAATGATATAAATATTCAGAATCCGCCAGTTTCACACCCTGTTTTTATGACAGGTCAGCATGGAAGTCGGCCAGGAAAAGGCTTGTTTAAAAAGAAACAAGCCTATATATATATATATATATATATATATATATATATATATATAGTATGCGTCCGGGATTTCACAGAGAAGGTCTGGATTTGAGCAGTGATGCGGTGGGACCTCTCCTGGCATCCGTTGCCCAGAGCCACTGGAGTACAGGGCAGCGGCTGAGAAAGTTTTGAGTGAGACCATCGCTGCGTTTATGGGGCTTTATGCACAAAACTAAGGAAAAAAACACATTGCTTTGCCAGAGGTTAATAAGGAAAAACAAATGCATAATTACGCAGCGCAGGGCTAGTACTCAATACAAATACTCAAGTGTATTTGTATTGCGCCTTTCACAGACCAGATCACAAAGCACTTCACATTTAAAAGACATACAGATGAAAATATTACATACAAGTCAGATTTAAAACCAAAGAAACAGAAGAGGGTCCTCAACATGAACGTATCATGAGCTGAGATTTATTTGAAGTTTGCGTGTTTCCATTAGACTTTTTCTGATGGGCAAATTCAAATTAAAACGCAGCTTATAATTTTTCCAGAGTGAGAATATGTTTACTGTTGTCCAAATCTTGAATCTCATGCGTGTTTTGGCGTGTTGTAATGAAGGCTGAAAGCGTATACTTTTACACCACATCCAGATTGATAAATGCCGAAAAGTGTTAATTTACGCCTACTTTTCACCCTGATTTGCCCTTACGCAAGTTTCATAAACGAGGGCCATTCTATCTAGTGAAAGCTATGATGTGTCTTCAAATAGATGCATCAGTTTTTTCTAGTTCTATTATTCTTTCACTCCGTACACAATGATGATGAACAACGACTGTAGCCACATCCTGATCTTCTCTAATTATAAGTTGCAGGATTGAAACCAAAAAAGATGGTACATGTCAGGTGTGACCGAGGCAGTGCTGGTGAAAGACGCTCTGTTCCTATTCTCACGACAAACTTCTTAAACCATAAACTGAAGCAATTTCCCAACAGCTCAACAGAAAAAATATGTGTGATTTTCTTCTCTGGATATTCTTAAACATATCATTGAATATGTCAGCCTTGTGTGGTGGAGAGACATGTCACACTTGAATGAGGAATGAGTACTCCTCAAAGTCATGTTGGAATAGAGAGATTGTCAGAGAAATAAGGCTGACTTTACGGGAGAGAATACAAATCGGTAAAATAGTAATAATAATAATAATAATAATAACAACAGCAATGCAGCAAGTATAGAGATTTTTACATGCAGTGAAAGATGCAGAGAATTGCTTGCTGACGCTACATGAAAACAAAATGAATACATGTATTTATTTCTTCTTTGTATTTGCTAATGCCCTTCCAGCTCTGGGCCTGTGCGCTCAAACACTCTGATGTGGAGTAGGACTGCTGATCTGAGACTAATTAGCCTCTTAACTCAATCTGAAGATTTAAGGCTTCGCAGTAGGACCCAAAGTGGAAGTGGTAATTTGAGCAAAAAGCCAGATACATGCTTATCTGAAACCCACCAGGCTCATTAATTGTTTGAAATATATTGGTAAATGATGAAAGCTTTCTGTGTGTTGAAGAGAAAAATGTGACTGTGACAAGTGGCAGGCAGTTAAGTCTATGTGGTGTGATGGACGCCCACGTCGTGTTTTGGATATGGCTCTTCATGTTGGATGTCTTCATCAGAGTATTTTAATGCCCTCAGTGTATTTTACTGCCTCATGATGACTTTTAAAGTAAAGCTGGAAATAGAACTTGTGCCTATTTTAAATTACACTTTATAATTCTGTGTTTTTTTTCAGCCCAAAATCACAACAGCAGGTGTGTCAAAGTATCTGCAGAATTGTTGAATGGTAGATTAAACAATTAAAATAGTCATTTCTCAAAAAAGACACAAACATTCACCATTGTTCGAAGGAATAAAAAAGATTTTCCTTGAAAAAAAAAACATCAGATTTTTTTTTTTTAAACTGAATTTTCCCAACCATTCAGCAGTTCACCTGTATGTCAAGGATGAACTTTGTATGCGCGACAACTAGCACAAATGTTTACTCGGCGGAGTCCCCAGGGCAAAGCCAAACGGGAATAAACGGCACATATTTTTCAGATGAACTGTCCTGTCAGCTTTGAGACAGGTATTCAAACGCTTTGTGGAACATTTTAGACACCAACAATGGAAGATCTTTTTACTGAATACAATACAATACATTTTATTCTTCTTTAGCCCTAAATCTCAGAGAACTTAACAAAACCATTGAAATCACCAACACAGATCAGAGAATCAACAGTTAAAACACATAAAGAATATAGAACACATGTTAAAAAATGTCCATACTGTACATGTTGTAGAATGTTAAAGTGTCCTGGATCACCACAGTCTTTCTAGTTGGACACTAACTGCCCAACAGACTCTCCTGCATCGGCAAGGAAAAACTCACAAGAAAAACCAAATAAACTGCTTTTCCTCTGTTCCACATGAGCTTGTCTTTTATATAATCAATTATCTATCTTCCTTGACAACAGATCTAATTGTTACCTGATGTAACTGACAATAGATCTAATCGTTACCTGATGTAACTGACAATAGATCTAATTGTTACCTGATGTAATTGACAATAGATCTAATTGTTACCTGATGTAACTGACAATAGATCTTATTGTTACCTGATGTAACTGACAATAGATCTAATTGTTACCTGATGTAACTGACAATAGATCTAATTGTTACCTGATGTAACTGACAATAGATCTTATTGTTACCTGATGTAACTGACAATAGATCGAATTGTTACCTGATGTAACTGACAATAGATCTAATTGTTACCTGATGTAACTGACAATAGATCTTATTGTTACCTGATGTAACTGACAATAGATCTAATTGTTACCTGATGTAACTGACAATAGATCTAATTGTTACCTGATGTAACTGACAATAGATCTAATTGTTACCTGATGTAACTGACAATAGATCTAATTGTTACCTGATGTAACTGACAATAGATCTAATTGTTACCTGATGTAACTGACAATAGATCTAATTGTTACCTGATGTAACTGACAATAGATCTAATTGTTACCTGATGTAACTGACAATAGATCTAATTGTTACCTGATGTAACTGACAATAGATCTTATTGTTACCTGATGTAACTGACAATAGATCTAATTGTTACCTGATGTAACTGACAATAGATCTAATTGTTACCTGATGTAACTGACAATAGATCGAATTGTTACCTGATGTAACTGACAATAGATCTAATTGTTACCTGATGTAACTGACAATAGATCTAATTGTTACCTGATGTATGTAACTGACAATAGATCTAATTGTTACCTGATGTAACTGACAATAGATCGAATTGTTACCTGATATAACTGACAATAGATCTTATTGTTACCTGATGTATGTAACTGACAGCAGATCTAATTCTTACCTTTTGTATGTAACTTAATGCTGTGTATAACAAATGAAGCAGGTCTGAAAATACCCAGTTAAATGCAGACTACTCCACGTCACACAAGAACCTGACTACATCTGCAAATAGTAGTAAAAAGCCCAATTAACCCATTTAAACTATACTAGAGAATTGTTTTGCCTCATAGTGATACTGTCGTCTGTAATGCCAGCCATAGTGGAAACAATTGTAGTTTAAACATTGATATGCAGTAGTTGTCTGGAAGTAGCATTTTAGTCATATTAATGCTGTGGGCTTAAATCAAAAGTGCGTTTGAGAGAGGGATCCGGTGACAAAAATGGCATTGTTTTGTTTTTATATGAAAGGATAGAAGAACTGTTTTCAGGGATATTTAGTGTAACAAAGGCAAAACCTACTGTTCCTGTGATTAAAGATGATAAGCGTATCTTCACAAAACAGGGATTATCTCCCACAGCTCCAAATCGGTCTTTTAAGCTCTATGCCTATCCCCACTGTGGACATTTGATTTAATTTTCTCAGCGTTTTATGTTTTTCTTATATAAACTCGTGGAGCTTGGCAGGGAGCCAAGACACTAATTCCTCCACTGGGGACAATAAAGTCTCTCAGGGTCTTGGCTTTTGAAACGCTCCAAGCAGTTTGACCCTCAGCAGCAGACGTAGCAGTAGACATAAAGTTGGTGTTTTTTTTTGTTTTTATGGATGGTTTGCAGGGTACTTGTCAAATGGAGCAGCATTATGTATATGCTTGGGTGACCCCGTACAATGCAATTTAGTGAGTTTTAGAGGCAGGTAGTCAGTCGGGCTCCTTTACATCGGGCAGACAGAATACAGTGTGTGCCCAGAAGATGGAATCACTGTCAAGCTTTTGTTTGTTTTTTGTTCATGCTAAAATGATCAAACCAAATGTATTAATTATAAACAATTGTCAATTATACTCTCAAATTTCTGGTAAATTATTGTATCAAATTAAATGGGACTGGATATTTGGCCTTTTCTGAACAAGATAAAAGTGGCTTAAATCTAAACCAAAATAAGTTATCATAAAGCGTTATTACTAGGGACGCAACTACTCTCACTTTTTTTCAAAACCGATATGAGTGTCTACAGCTAGTTATGGTAGCTAAGAAACATAGCTACTACTTATTTGTATATAGTGTGTGTGCTCCCTATGTGCTCTTACTACTGTCCTGTATGTGCGCTGCAACATCGAAATTTCCCCACTGTTAGACGAATAAAGGAATTCTTATCTTATCTTATCTTAACTTGAGTACCAATAGGAGTACTGAATTGAGTGATCCTTGAAATTTCACATAAATGTTATTTAGATATAGCTTGGAGCTGGGGTATGAATAAGATGCAGAGCCAGAATTATCGTTGGAGAGTCAATGATAACCACTCTATTGCATGAACAGCACAAAGCGACCTCTTCTCTCTTCTCGGTTAGTTCAAATGTTTAAAAGTAAACGCAGCCGACTTGCGCATGCGCACTCTAGCACTCGCTTACACTGGCAAAGGTTACTCTGTGCGGTGGTGAGTTTTATCAAGTTGCTGGTGTTATATGTGTTTGTTTTGGACACACCTCATGACAGTTTTGCCTTACACAACGTAAAGTCCGCTTTACTCTTGTCACTCTCGTTTACTTTAAAAAATGCCATACGGCCGACATCTTGTCCGCTCGCCGATAGCCTGCTTGCCGCTAGCCTACGTGCTGCAAGCCAGCTTGCTGGTAGCCTGATGCTGGTAGCCTGATGCTGGTAGCCAGCTTGCTGGTAGCCTGCTTTCACACCTGTAGCTTGGTTTCTTGCTGTCGACTTTACGGATATCACCATGGCAACACAGCTGTCTGCTGTCATGATGCTGTGGGTAAAATGTGGGTATCGGCCAGGTCCTATGGTATTATACCGGTATCGGTGCATCCCTACACTGTAAAAAAGAAAAAGTTAGTTCAACTCAAAATTTCAAAGCAACCAGCTGCGAAGGATTTTTGAGTTGAAGGCATTAACTTCATTCTTCACGTTTTGAAGAACTACAATTATTAAGTTGTGTCAGTTTTCCAAGTTCTGCCAACTAAGTTTTTTAATTCAAGTTACTGGAAATTTCAAGTCTGTAAAAACTTACTTTTTTAAGTTCAGATTACTGTCCCCCTACAATAACTTACTATTTTGAGTTTAAATTAGCCCCACATTAAACCGTCATGATGTTTATTTATATAGCACATTTTACAGACCAGGGTCACTTGGGCAGGGGAAACCGGAGCACCCGGAGGAAACCTATGCAGACACAGAGAACATGCAAATCCCTACCGGGATTCGAACCCAGGACCTTCGTGTCAAGAAGCAGGAGTGCTATCCACTCAGCCACCGTGCCGCACACACTGTGAACCTGATTAGTGGAAAACTAATGTTTCTGAAAGACTGACCCAGGGAATATACAGGGCTAACCCTGTCGATTACGGTTGGTAAAAATAAATACAATGATTTATTTGGTCAAATTAGTTTTTCCAAAATGTTGAATGCAGCTGGTTGCCATGACAAATATTTAAATGAGCAAATATTTAAATGAGATAAGTTGACCTAACTCTAGCTCGGTGAACTGTAAAAACGACAACTCAAAATTGTTCACCATACTCAGATTTTTGCATTCACTGACAATAAAACTGCCAGTTGGAACTGGAACTGTCTGTTGTGAGCCACTTGGACTCACTTTCAGAAGTTGATTAAGTTGATTTTACTTGGAAGTTGTAGTTAACATGTCAACTACAACTTCAAAGTAAAATCAACCTAATTTATCAAATAAGATGAACTTTTCATCAGAACCTTCTGAAAGTGAGTTCAAGTGGCTCACAACAGACAGTTCCAGTTACAACTGGCAATTTTATTGTCAGTGAATGCAAAAATCTGAGTAAGGTAAACAATTTTGAGTTGTATTTTTTACAGTGTAGTTTTACCATTTTAAGATAAACATCTGTAATCGGTGCTTAGGTAATAGTCATAGACAAGAAAATTCTGGCATTAATATTTGGATTATAATTGTATTGTCTTTATTGACCTTGGAAGAGTGGTTTTAATATAACAAAAAAGCAGTAATACAATGAGTTGGTTTAAGTGCTGATGTTTTATGTTGCCTGTTCTGTAGAGAGAAGAGCAGTCTAAATGAAGAGACTTACCTGCGTAAAGTAGAACAAGACGTAAAATGACTTGTAACTTCCCGTTTGAAAAGGCCATTCAGAAATCCTGCAAGAAATTTACGTTCCTTTAAGTTCTTGAAATTCTTTAGATATTTCTCATTACGTCACCTCTAGTGGACACAGTGTATTAACAAACGAATGAAAAAAGCTACACCAAGCTCTGCATGGGAGGTGAAAAACTGAATGTACTAAACGACAATGGCCAATTGGAACTTTTGATCCTAATTCACTGGTTCCATAAATATCTACCTTGTTTTAAAAAAGAAATGGGAAAAGTCTTGGATGGAAAAAGACAGTATTGATCACTTGTTTGAAGAAAAGAGCTTTTTTATCCTGAACAATAGTACAAAGAGAAGAGGAACTTGGCCTTAAGGATGCCTTCACTATTATACATAATAGTGAAGCTGTCAATCAACTTACCGTGTTGAAAATGTGCAAAGCATTGGATGTGAAGTAGTCCTGGTGTGTTGATTGTACTGAGACTTGTGTGAAAGTCTACAGAGGTGATGTGAGCCCCGCCCTCTGCCGGTGCATAGCTGAGCCGTGCAGACACCTTTGGAGGAGCACAAATGTGAAACTATTTTAACCCTTTAGACGCCAAAGAAGGAGATTTCTTTTCCTGAGCCTACTCAAAATCTTTCTTTTTATTATTCCTAGTCCAAATTAATAACATAACAAAAAAATGTAAATAATGTTCTCAGGGGGTTGTTGATAGACGTTTGACTTGTGCAAGAGAGGAAAGGCCATAAAGTTCTTTCATTTAAATTCTTATGTTTAATGTTTGTGTAAATGTTGAGAAAATCACCATTCTGCTGTGCTCACTCTGTACTTCTTTTTCCTCCAGAGCATCAAGTGTTCAATTAATCCATCAATTAAGCTTGGAGAAACCAAACAGTAAACACATCTTATTGAAGATGACGACTGATGTTGCCTGATGTTGTTAAAACTACAATGGGTTATCAGGGAAACTAGGGAGATTTAATTCTTGAAATATACAGTGCATTATTGCTTGTGTAAGCCTATTTTTTTCTAAGTTAAAATTGTTTAATACTTTTTTAATATGTTTATTTAATTCCTTTATAATTGTGTATGTGTTGGAATGGGTCTCATGTATTTCATTCCGAAAAATAAAAATGGTCAGTGTCGTAGTAGCCTGTGTAGGGCACTTTTGAATCCTCTTAATGCTTGATGGCTTGGATAGCATTAGAATCTATATATAGTTGACTGCACTTCTATGAAACTACATGTTTTTCAGCATGTAAGGATAATATAATATATGTCATCTGTGAGGTGAATACATTGTATTATGCTGGAAAATAGCACAATATTTTCTATCTATTCATGTATTCACTGATGGAAGCGCAAGTTGCATGTTTTTTCCACAAAAAAGCAGAGGGGTTCAAGGAAACCATACATTAGAAGTGGACTAATCCAGTGCTGACCAGTGGGGGCGGGTCCTGGCTCAAAAGTGGCCAAAATGACGTGCGCTGACATGCTTGCAATACCACCCCGGGCCGATGGGGGTGGACCCGGAATAAGAATTAGCCAATGCTAACATATAGCATTAGCTGACCTCTCGAAAACGTCTTTACAGGATGGTCCAAAAGTTGGCTCTTGGCCCAAAGCTCCGTTCCTCATGTGTGTCAATGCTGAGGGGGGTGAATTCTTTTAGACCACTCTAGTTTACTTGCTGTGAATTTTTGAAGTCTCTCGTTCAAAGAATGGAGCTTGCGCCGGCTGACGCATGCGCAGATGCGTTTTTTCACAATTTTCTTGTGGGCGGGACCACTCGCGGTCATTTTGGATTGCTCCAGCAGAGCACATTTTTGGCCCATTTGTTTGAACGGCGGAGATAGGCGTGACAACGGCGTGACAATTGGTCAGTTGCTACAGCTCATACCTGGACCTACAAAGACAAACTCTAAATAATAACACATAAGATCCATGGATCTTATGTGTGAACCATGGATGAACCATGGATTTTCGACGCTCAAAATGGCGATTTTGACAGAAATGGTCACTGAGCTAGAGTAGTTTACTTATTCATGTAAGCGAATAGGAGCTGGAGCAAGTAGAAGCCAAACTTTGTTCATGAGCACATCCCTATTGGGCTTCATTGAGCTGGGGGTCAGAATTGTCCATCTGCATACAGTGCATGGTTTAACACTGGAAACTGCCGCACTGGAGCTGCACAGATTAGCTGTGCCCAATAGGTGAGCTGCCCCATGCCCTACTAAAATTAATGGAGTTGAATGAAATAGCTGTTGTTGGTACTTTATTTATATTTACTTGGCAACTGCATACATTATTCTGCAGGGATCAGGCCTCTGTGGATCCCCCCTCACCTCTAGGCTTCTTGCAAGAGCTGTCAGGTCACTCAGTCAGATAAACAAGTGTGTAATTAGGTCCTGTGACGTCTCCCCTCTCTCACCGCAGAGCCGGTTGTGTGCGCGTCAGGTGATCTCGGTTCAAATTCAGATCTCAGAAAAAACTTTTTGCACACACCTTTTCCCACACAGAAGACCTGGCCGCGTCACACCTTCAGCACTCCTTAAAAACACCACCATTGTTGCTGCAGACACTGTGCATTTGTAACTCGGGCCAAGTCCGTGACAAGCCTGAAGACTGCGGAGCGCGCCGTCTGCCGCAATGCCCGCTGTAAATAATGTTTTATTAGATAATTAAATGTATTGAAAGGGCTGAACTCTGCAACAACTTTTATCAGCTATGATTTGCAAGTATAGAGGCAGCTTTCAGGCCTTCGACAGATCAAGGCTTGGATTGCTTTATTCAGTTGTTGCTTTTCATGGGAGGACCAACCTGTTGTGTTTAATTTATAGAAATATAGAAAAAGAATTAAAATATATTCTCAAACACAATTAAAAAAAAGATAAACGATGATTTTTTAAAATTGTATAATGACATTTCTCAATGCGTGTATGTCATGAAAATGTGTAGAATGTAAATGTCATTAACATACATTATACACATGTTATGCATGCAGTGGGAAGAGAAATCAGACCTCTATACATATTATTATTATTATTATTTTCAAATCTGTTGTTTTAGATTGAGGTGAGGCATCACATTGTTGGGTGTTAACAATTTAAATGATTTATTGTAAGTTTGTTTTTGCAGTTCTAATTTAATAACATGTTTTTTTTTTGCAATGGTTATGACTTTGATTTGAAAAACTTGGGTGTGTTTGTGTGTTGGCAAGGACAGATTGTCATTGTGCATAACTCCACACTCCTTTCTTGAAAAATCACTGCAGTCAAAGAGTAATGCTATGATTTAATATACCACTATAGCAGTTTAGCCCAGTGGCTGAATACCCTCATAACATAAGAGATCTGAACCAGGCCAGGACAGACTTTTATTGAAATTTAACACCAACACTGGCTTTGTTGAGAAAATACAGCTGTCTATTGAGCCGTACACACAACATAATGTTAATGGTAATGTGTGCGCAATAGTTGTCGCCATCACTGTTTGCAGATACACACTCAACGCTCTGTATGTCATACTTTCTATATTCGTTATATTTTATTTTTCTGATTAGTTGCAGTGACATAGCTCAGAAGACAAATGCCTTTCATTTCATCTAACATCATATCAGTTGTGTTTTCATCTCCACATTTAAGAATCACGGGCACGTCTTACTTATCCAGCCAACACACAACATCAACCACAGACTATTTTGTTAAGCCTGAAGAAACGATTCAATATTGATTATTGTAGAGTCTCTTGTTCGGGATGTAAGCATGAATGTTGGCCATTAAGTGCTAAGTGCTGGCCTAATACGCTGCCAATATTGTTCATTAAGAAGATGAACAAATGCTTAAAGAACACTAAGTGGATTTACAAGCACTTCTTGGCTGTTTTCATGTGCCTCGCTGTTGGCTTCACTAAATCCATACAATGATCTAAAATGTCATAGAGAATGAGGTGGGGGGCCGCTGGCAGCTTGTCTGGCAGGTGCCTAATTGGGCCATATCTCTTTCCTCTTATACTGCAGTTATTGAGAGAACAGCATTGGGCTCATACAGGCGGATAATAGGACAACAGCACTTCAGATACTGATCACAGAAGTTGCTTCAGTAGCAAATAATAAGTCACTACTAATAATAGTTTTTTAGACGTAGAGCAGGGGTCTCCAACCTGTAGCTCTTGAGCCATCAGTAGCTCGCCTCCCACTTCCAGGCAGCTTGCCAAAGGATTTAGAAATGACCAAATCAAATAATACTTAACATTTCAGATGTTATTATTCATTATCATTATTTATTATTGTAAATGCACTTACTGTATGTGTAGTTAGTAACAAATATGCAACGGTAAATAATGACTGTACCCGATATCAGGCTCCTTATGTCAATATTTCACCACATTTTCCCCAGGGCCATTTCAAGGAGTAGCTCTCTGCTTTTATCATCCCGGGAAAGTAGCTCTCTGGGTGAAAAAGGTCGGAGACACCTGACGTAGAGAATTACTCATCAGTCAGACATAATGTGCCTTGCTCTGCTGTAAACTTGATCTAAAAACAAAGTATTAAATTAAATGAGATGTGTAAGAAAAAATATAACAGATTGTCTGGTAGAATATTTATTTTTCATAGGATTGTAGGAGAAGTGTTGCAATTCAACGACCACATGAAAGAGCCAGCCATTCAAAGGACCGCAAGACCAGCAGACATTCTCCATGAACTCCGAATGTTTTCCCCAATAGATGCTAAAGCAAAATTGATCTGAAATGGGTCATGATGTGCAACAACAACGACAGCTGTTTTTTTTATTATTATTTCTTCATTCATTTGTCCACTTAAACAATGTCATATCTTTCAAAAATCTGTCAAAACTTTTCTGAAAGGGTTAGGTTGAAGTTTGGACATGTATTACGCATTTCTCCATTGCCAAAAGATGTAGCAAATCCCATTGAATTCATTTTCAAATTGATTCAACTCTGAAAATGTATCTTTAAAATTCTATTTGAAGCTTAAGAAGTACATGAATCAATGTAGAAATGCGGACAGTGAAAATGATTCCCCCGCTTGTCTATTTAGTCACTTTTAGGTCACTAATTATAAATAAAGTACCCCTTTGTACTCCACCGATGACAGGAGCCCCATTTTTGCATTTACAGCCAAGAGTTGTCATAACCTCATTTATCTGCGGCAGTTTTTTGGCAAAGGTGCTCTAATCTCACAGGAGGAGGCAAACAAGCCACCTTGACAGATGTCCAAATTACAAGTAAACAGGCTCGCGAGGGAGGCAAACAAATGACCAAGATGTACTGGGAGGGGGGGAGGCAAGGGGGGGGTGGGGGATAGGGTTGAAGAGGAAGGGTTAGCCAGCAGCCAAACTGAAATAGCTTGTGACTCACCGTGTGTCAATGTCATCCAGCCAGTTAGACACATATATTCATCTTCTTAAGGTGGAGTGCCACTGGGCTGAGGATGGCATTGGCAGGGAAAGGCCATCAATATTTAAAAAGGTCAAAAGTTTGGAGCAGAAGTCGTTAGAGTCAAAGTTTGCAATTCATGTCAAATCTTCTCCTGTTCATGTCTGTGTGATGATTTCAAGATCATGAATTTCAAGATTCAAATTATATAACAAATGACACAAACTTTGCAAAGCAGCAAAATTAAATCAAAGACTGTCTGGGTCTGCTTTTTCATTTCAATGGGGTATCCCTTTTTTAGAATGATGACCCATTATTTACACTTGCACAAGTAACATGTTCAAATGTGGCTAAATGAGCGCTGGTGTTTAGAGCTTGTGAACATTTCAAGAGGGAGCTTTGGAAACAGAG